GCAGAACCTCTGGAAGCAGCTAGCTTCCACCCTGGGGGAGATGTTGAAACTAATACCACTTGGAAGCCTGGTGGGGAGAGCAGGGCATGGGCCTGGACCCACTCTGAGGAGGGGGCATTAATGACCAGTGCAGGCACCTTGAAGGCCACTGTTATGAGGATGGCTCTAAAAATGCTGGAAAAATGGGAAATCAGTCAGTTGCTGCTCCAGGAAGGAGCAGAGCAAGGAAGCTGCCTTCATCCGTTCAGACTGCCAGAGCAGAATATCACAGACCCGGGAGTTTGTAGAGTTCTGGAGGCTGGAAAGTCCAAGACGGTGGATTTGGTGTCTGATGAGGCCCACTTCCTGGTTCACAGACTTCTCATTCTAACTTCACATGGTGGAAGGGGTATCTTTGGGCCCCTTTATAAAAATATTAATCCTGTTCATGAGGGCTCTACCCCTATGACCTAATCACTTCCCAAATACCCCACCTCCCAATACCATCACCTTGAGACTAAGGATTTTAACATATGGATTTGGGCAAGCAGGACGGTGGCATTATCAGGGTGATGCAGACAGGAACAGAAAGCAAACAAAAAGGAGAGAGCAGAGTCCTTCTCCCTCCTCCAGCCCCTCACTCTCCCCTACTCCTCTCTGTCAGCCTCCAGGGTACAGCTGGCAAGGCATGAGTGAGGTTGTTTGCAGAGTCTTGTCCCAGCATCCCAGAGTGGAAAAAGGGCAGGTTTGTAACAAGAGACAGGAGTTTACTACCCGGCACACTGAACTTCTGGCCACCACTGCTCTAGCAAGACACCTGCACCCAGACCTTGTTTAGGTCTGCTTTGGGGCAACCTAATGTCATTCAAACCTCCTTCCCTACTCTTGATATTGAGCCTCATTAATAAGCTGTTATCTTTGAGGGTTATCATCAACCCTCAACATAAACCAACTTGAATTAATGAGACAAAAATCATGTGGAGTAGCTCTCAGAACTGAAGAACTGCCAAAACCATTCTAGAAAAGGGACAGAGATTAGAACAAGTCTGCAGTCCTGGACCCACAGCAGAAACCCATGGATGACCTCATCAGAACACCCCATTAGAGGGCAAGCCCCACATTTCAGTCTTGGTTTCACTGCACTACGATTTCTGATTTGAAGGAGAGGCAGCTGATGTGTCTAGTTTGGATCACTCATCCAGCCCAAGGTCAGAGAAGGTAACATCTCAACTGACAGTATGATCAGGGCTGCATCCAGTGTGGGAAGAGCTGCTCAATACTAAACCAGGAATGTTGCCTGAAGAATGGTTGGTGTGGCTGGGCAGGGAAGTGACACAGTCCATCAGTTTTCTTAGGCTGGGGATCCTAGAAAACAACGCTGAGACAAGGAGTCAAGGACAAGTGGCTTTGTTGAAAGGAAGCATCTGTGTGTGGGGAGCAGGAAAGTGAGACAGGAAGGAAGGAGATCAATACAGGGCAGCTGAGAAGTAGATTTCTTCATGGGCTTCTGGAGCTGACACCCACTGGGGACCTCCAAAAGTCTGTTGAATATACCTCAGAGTTATCCCAACAGAAAGTGAGAGGGCTGCGGTGTTTATCTACCAAGGCTGCTCCCAGAAGCAGGTACTCCTCAGAACTCACAACCTTCCCAGTGCTTGGACCAAGCATTCTCCTACAGTCATTGGAAACTCTAATGCACAGAGTTGCGTGTATTTCCAAGGGGACCCTCTCAGGGTATAGGCATGCACCAGAATAGCAGGGGATCTGAGTCAGGCACTTTGGCAGGCACAGATAGACAGCAGTGACTGGTCATCAATGGAATGCTTGAAAAATGGGGAGCAGGTGAAGTACTGCCATGCAACTTCTTTAGGAAGGAAGTAGTTTGGAGGCATATCACTCCTGAGGAAGTGTGAGGGAAGAAAAAATGAAGACCCTGTGAGTGATGTAATTAGGAGGCATGCTCTCATGACTCCAGCATGTCACCATATTTGGTTTCCTTCATAGTATTTTCTCCTTTAGTTATCTGCTAACACTTGTGCATTTCCTTCAGGTCTTTGGGAGCAGGGTCACGTCTGATTTTTCTCTGCTGTCTCTACAGTACTCAGAACTGTGCCTGCCAATTCACTTTCATTGATTGATCAAATATAAAAAATGATCTTTCATTGGGCTGGGAGAGATGGCTCACTCCTGTAATCCCTGCTACTAGGAGGCAGAAATCAGGAGGATGGGGGTTCAAGGCCATTTCAGACAAAAAGTTAGCAAGACTCCATCTCAAACAACAAGCCGGTTGTGGTGGCACATGTCTCTAACCCAGCTACACAGGAGGTCATAAGTAGGAGGATCACATCAGGCCAGCCTGGGAAAAAATGCAAGATTCTACCTGAAAAATAATTAACGTAAAAAGGGTTGAAAGTGTGGCTCAAGTGATAGAGAAGCTGCCTAGCAGGCACAAGGCCCTGAGTTCAAACTCTAGTACTGCCAAAAAAAAAAAATGACCTCTGATTCCAAAATGGTACCTCCTGCCTTTTTAGATAAGAATATTAACTGAACATATAGTTCAAAACTAAAAAGACAATGGGGAAAAGAAAGGGTTTGCCATGGCTATTAATGTTGAATATAATAGACACACTGGTCCAAATTCCCACATCCTGGGGTCCAGATAACAGCTTCCATCATTCTCTCTTAAGCTTTTAAGTTATAAATATTTCAAACTGTAGAATGGATTGGGTTCTCCATTCATCTTTACGAAAGAACAACAAAAGCATATTTTTTTCTTGAAGTCAAAACTTCAAATGAATTCAGAACAAGATTATTTAAAGCTCAAAACAGAAAGGAAAGGTGACTATTCATATTCTGTTATTCCTATCAAATAAATAATAGAATGTCATTTGTAACTCTGTCAGTTTTTTTCCCATAACATGTAGTTGTGTTGCTACATTTTTTTTTAGAGACCAATAAAGTTTATTAGTAAAGCAAAGCAAAGGAAAGAGAGAAACATAGTACACAACCCAGACATGGATGTGGGCACATCTGGTAACAGGTACAATGAGTGTTTTAACATCCCCTTTGTCCTGACACCTGGTATAATTAGTTGTATTTGCTGTTACACTGTCTTAGAAATTGGGCTCGAAGATGTTGCTACATTTTTTAAGCCAATGCAATAATCCACTTAAGCACATTTACTGAGTGTCTTCAGTCTACTTTGGAGCATCTATGTGAAGGACTAATTTCTTAATTGGCATATTTTTAAACTAATTTTTAAACTGTCAACAGGACAAAAATGCCTAGAGGACAACATAGAAAATTGTGTAGGTGCACCTCACTGGTAGGATGCATACTTAGTATGCTCAGGACCCTGGGTTTGATTCCCAGCACACACAGAAAAGTGGAGGCTTTGTTGCTGCAGTGCTGAACATGGAACCCAGGGCCTTGCACATGCTGGGCAAGCACTCTCCCACTGAGCTACATCCCTAGCCCTAAAAACAAAACTTCTATGGATCCTGATGTGTGTAATTTTTATTTCTTAGGATGTAACACAGAAAATACTTACACATGCACATGTATATACACAAAAGACAAAAGCACTTGCACACTCACATGTGACAGGGATATGTTACTAACTTAAATCATTAGTACTGAGAACTCTGCTCAACACTGCCTGGCATACAGTCTGTTCCATAAATGCTTATTAGAGGTCTTGCAGAGTGGCTCAAGTGGTAGAGTGCCTCCCCAGCAAATGCAAGGCCCTGAGTTCAAACCCTAGTACTGACCAAAAAAAATGCTTATTAGACTAATTTAATAACTTCTAAACCAAGAACTTATACAGAGATATTCAAGTTTGGTTTTTGAAACTTGACCTAAGATTACAATCTCTGAGTGAGAATATCTTGAGTATTTCATACAAAAGTACACTTGGTGCACATACTTTGTAGGTGGCATTGGTGCCTTTCTCTATCCCCTTGACCCTTACAATTTTCATCCCCAGCTTCCAAAGGCAGCCACTGTACTTCATTGCCTGGAGGCTTCCTTGGCCCCCAGAGTTAACACTCTGAGCACTCTGATCCACTGGCAGTGGATCTATACCCCAGCTCCCTCACCCCTCACACAGGGTAACTGAGGCACATGTTCTACTCTGGCTCCCAGAGTTGCTCAGTAGGATTCAGCTCCACTGACCCTACATGCAAACCAGTTGGTAATATGCTTCCTACCGGCTGCCTTGTCTTCCTGTCTCTTCTCCACTCCCCAGATGCCTCCTGAGATCATAGTCAAAGAAACTTTTTACATTCAAATGTTTTCTTCAGGATCAGCTTCAGAGGGAACCCAAACTAAGACAAATACTCTTAATCAGTTTATCTCTTACAAAACACTTATTTGCAGGAGCTCGCTCTGGTGTTTGAAATGGAATGATAGAGAGCCATTGTCACTATCTGAGACTTTTTGGTGGTGCTGGCATTTGAACTTAGGGCCTCACGCTTTTGCTAGGCAGGTGCTCCATGCTTCCAGCTGACCAGCTGAGATTTTAATGAGTTTCTAACGAAAAGTGCTGAAGCTGAGCATTGTGGCACAAACCTATAATTTCAGCACTCAGGAGGCTGACGCAAGAGGATTGCAAGTTCAAGGCCAGCCTGGGCTACCTTGGGAAAGAACAGAAAGAAAAGAAGGGAGACAGGATGGAGGGGAGAGGTGAGGAGGGGAGGGGAGAAAAGAGAAAAGAAAAGAGATAAAGCATGTAGAAGAGCATGTCTCTTTCCTAAACAAGGATGGGTTGGTGGCCGTTTAACAGAGCATTCTGGTCCTGAGAGTGGCTGACCCACCTACATTTCCAAAGCTCTATTAATTAGACAAGAGGTATGGTGCAAGCAAAAAAAGCATTTTAATAAAGGTTCATTGACAAAGCCAGACTGGTCAATTATGCTCAAATCCAAACAAGAACCCTCACTCTTTTGTCATTTGTTCTAAAATGTCAAAGAATTCCCCCTACAGTGGCCCAAAGGCACTTTCTCCCATAGAACTTGAGCATTTCAGGAGGTCTTCTCTCCCAATTTCTTGTTGACCTTTGTTTTTCCGATCACTGTCTCCACAATTACTGCAGTCTCTTCATACGTCTGAATGCTCTCTGTTGACATCTTCTCAATGGATTCCACTACCTCCACCTTCTTAAAAGCCAAGGCCTTTGGAGAACTTTTTTCCAGCAGGCTGCTGCTCTTTCTCCCAGGGCCCTCTGATCTACCTTGATTGGCTCCAATCCTTTGAGAATGGGGTGTAGATGATCCCTCTGGACCAGGCATGATCATAGGGCAAGTTTTTCTGGACCCCTCATCTTCCTTCTGGCCATCACCTTTCTCTCTGGGATCTTTCAGTTCTTTGGCATTTGTCTCATTCTCCTTGTCTGTAGACTGCTCGTTGCTGGAGTGCCCACCTTCCCTCTCCTGGGAACTCCCTGGTCCATCCTCCAAAGGTGGTGTGGGCTGCTCAGGAGATGGTTCCACATGGTCATCATGATGCATAGCATCTTCATCAATGGAAACTACCACCCCACCTCTGGCTGGGATGGAGGAGGAATGGAACTCAGGGTCCACATAACTGGCATCCCCTGTGACCAGCACATGCCGTCCTTTGGTGTAGAGGTCAAGGGAGGGCTCAGGTGTGGGTTCTTTGGGGCCTCTTACTTTCTCCTTGACAATTTTGCAGAGTTTCCCAAAGGCTTTGCTTATCTTCCCCCCATCTGGCACATCTTCTGGACCCCCTTCTTGGGTTGGTGGACTTTCTTCTCCACCCCCTGATTCCAAGGGAGTTTCACCTTCCTCTTTAAGTTCCACCTGCTCTGGCTTTGTGTCTTGCACACTTTTTAATGGTGCATCTTCCAGAGTTTCACCTCCTTTGTCTTGAGTTATAATCTCCTTTCTTCTTAGAATGTTCTTGGGGAGGCCTTTTTGTCTTGGTTTAGCTGTTGTTATATCCTGCACAGCCCTGGTGAGATCTAATGAAAAACACAGGCAGTACATCAAGTATAACCATCAATGAGTGGGAATGGAAATGTTGCCATTGAAAAATGTGCTAATTTTGTTGCAGACAAAGGTCTAGCACCAGGGTGGGGCTTATAATACATGGGGAAAGAGCCCTGGGTGTGTTTTTCTACAGCCCACGTTGAGGCACCAGCTCTGCCAACCAGCTGTGCAACTTTGGACAGGTCATTCCATCCCTATGGGTTTCCCCAGAGGGAAGAAAAGGTGCTGCTTTTTCAGATGCTCACAGCTCACCATCACAATGGAATAATTCACAGACACATGATCCGACTGCCATGACACTCAGCAGGAGGAATGCCCCTGTCCCAACTCCAGCCCCCTGCTGCACTCACAGTGGGTACCTGAATCCAGTGTAGACAACAGGAACACAAAGTCATTCTCTGTGACATCCTCAAAGAAGGGACAGCAGAGTTGCCTGGGCCTCTAACATGCTCAGGTTTCAGGTATGGGGATGAAATCCATACATGTCCCAACAGCCTAAATAAATATGGCTACCCTTTTATCAGTTTCTCCCTCCTCCTGGGCCAAAAGAAGAAGCAATGCTATTAAATTTGGAAATGATAGGAATCCCCTATTCCCAATACCTACCCATTCCTTCACAATCATTGAAAAGGGAAGCTAGAAGCTGAGAAAACATACAAAAACCTTACCCTTCATCATCTGAGACTTTCTAGCTCCATCCACATAGTGATTTTGGAACTTTTTCATTCTAAAAGTCTTCTCCATTCCTTCCCACTAGTAACCCCAGGACTAAACAGACACATCACTCACAGCTGACCCACAATGGAGAGCACCAGGTGAGAGAAAAATGGCCACAAAGCCAAAGGGGCTGTAGAGAGGGACATGTCAAAGGAAACACCCCTGCGAGCTGGTCTAAGAGGAGAGATGCTTACAGGACAAGCTACTGAATTCCTGGGATGTGTGCAAAAGGAAAGTGCAGGAACTCTTGTTCAAAATTATTAAGACAGCAATGGTGAAGCATTAAGCCAAGCTCAGAGCCTCTTAAGTACAGGGACTTGTGGCGAGGCCACAGGCACATGGAGCCAGCCCTGGGTGTCTGCAGCAGGACAGTTGTCCTTCCAACGATGTTCTGACCCTGCAGCCCCATTTGCACAAAACTCTGAGCTGCTTGGGAAACATAGATTTTAAAGGCCCTTTGAGATCAGCAAGCCATCTTATGAACAACCACACAAGAGACTTGAGACCAGTGTGTTGACAAGATAACTGCATCCTCGCATTCACTGCAGCACTATTCACAATAGCCAAGATACGTAGTCAAACTAAATGCCCAGCAACAGATAAAGAAAATCTGACACATACACACAATGGAATACTATTCAGCCTTACAAAGAAGGAAATTCTGCATTTGAGATGACATGGATGGAATCAGAGAACGTTATGCTAAATGAAGTATATCAGGCACAGAGAGACAAATACTATATGATTTCATTAGAGTGGAATCTAAAACAACTGAACTCATAGAAACAGGGAGCAGAAGGTGGTTCTAGAGGCTGAGGGTGGGGGGGTGGGGAGATGATGGTCAAAGGATACAAAATCTCAAACAGGAGGAAAATGTCTTGGGGTTTCTTAGCTCTATTGCACAGTCTGATGAATATAGTTAATAATAGATTATTAAACATTTCAAATTTGCTGAAAGTACACTTCAAATGTTCTTACCACACACAAAAAAGTGTTAAATATTTGAGGTAATAGATATGTTGACTAGTTTGATTTAATTATTCCACCTGTATTCACAAATCGTAACATTTTAGTCTCATAAATGTATACAATTATAAATTACCAATTTATATTTTAAAAATTAAGATAAGGAGTAAAAACTAATCCCAGCACTTGGAAAGTTGAGGCAGAAGGATTGTGGGTTTGAAGCTAGCCTGGGCTACATAGCAAGACCGTGTCTCAAAAATAAGAGAAAAAAAAATAAAATCCTGTAAGTATGGCCATCAAAATTACCACCTTCTCTCTTCTCTCAAAGTGCTGTGCATGTTCAACCTAGTAGATTTAGATGTGAGGTAATGTCTTACAGGTGTGTAAAACATTCCAAAAAGCTCAACAAGGAAGGTAGAAGCCACATGCTAACCAAGCTGTTTCTGCTCAGTTTTTCGTTTTGCTTTGTTTTGTTCTGGTTGGTTGGTTGGTTGGTTGGTCAGTTTTGCAATGGGGTTATCATTGTATTATCTAGGTTGCCCTAGAACTCCTGGACCTAGTGATACTCCTGCCTCAGCCTCCTGAATAGCTGGGATTACAGGCAGGTGCTGTCAATAACATCACCCTGTATGCAAGTCTGTGATGCTCCCTAGCTATGCTTTTCTACCATGAGCTGATATAGAAAGATAGATAACTAGATAGATAAATTAATGTAGTATACAACTTTGCATAGTTACTGAGCATCAGTAAACATTATTTTTTAAAACACCCATTTATAATAAGAGAGAGAATGTGCTTAAGACTTGCTAGTATGGACCTTGGTTTCTGTAAAAGAGACATGACTTGTTTGATACATTTACTCAATTTCATGGCACTAATGTGTGACAGGTTAATTTCCAGACCAGAGGTCACAGAAGCACTTGTTCACAGGTACCCACAGGGCTCCCTGGGTTTTTAGCAACCTAGGAAGAATTGGTTTTTTCCACTTTTCCAAGACAGAAAAGAGTAGAGGCCAGGGTTGGAAAGTATTACCTTTCTCAGTAGATCCAAGGCTGAGAGAAGTCCCATGGCTTGGAGTGAACAGAATGACAGGAGTCTCAGTGAAGACAGAGCTCAGCCTGGCAGAAAGAACCAGAAAGAGTATGGCACCATCTTTAATTCATCAAGCCAAACAAAGGGTCGGGGCAAGAGCAGCTCCCTCTAGTCTTGAGCAAAAGTCAAAAATGCTTTCTCTAGAGCAAAGTGCTTGTGAATTTATATGACTATAAAGAGATAAACATATACACATCTATACACTATATGAGGACACAAAAGAAATAATCATTTATTTGAGCTCAAGTCATAATCTGTGAACCAGAGCTATGAAAACATCGTACAGTGATTACCTACAATGTACAATGCCACTTCTCCAATGGATGGGGTTTTTGTAGGCTTTTTTTTTATTTTTAATTAGAGTGACCATCACAGGTTGAAATATCAGGCTATGACATCCCCAACTTTTTTTTAAATAATATATATCATATATAAATAGAGAAAAATGTTTAAAGCTATTGAAACAAATGTAAACACCTGGTGAATCTGGGTAAAGAGTACTCTGGAGTTCTTTGTTCTATTCTTGCAACATTTCTCTCATTTTTAAACTATACCAAAATTGAAAGTTATAAACAAACCAGTCAAAGAGGTATCAGTTAACTTTTTGTGATGCCCTATTCCCAAAACAAAAATTCTCATAGGAACATTTAAATGCAGCTGAAGACTTAGTCCCATAAATATAACATGGAATTATCTAAAATACACTGACTAGCACTACAGGGAGGAAAGAAAAGCTTGTCTTTCCTGCTAAACACTTGAGCACTCACAGCCAAGACAGAGCACCCAGAGCAAAAGAGCAAAGGGGAGAGCTGCCCCTTGTGAGGCACTTGGGGGAGGGGCTCTCTTTTAATTCAATCTAAACCCAGAAAATTAGGACTGAATCACAACTCTATTCCCAACCTGTTCTTTGAAGGATATATATCCATAAATATGGATTTCGATGTAGCAAGGTGAGAAGGGGGAAAGAGAGAGAGAGAATTTCCTAACAGTTTTAAAGTAAGACCGGTTCTAGTCATAGCTCTGTTATGGAGGAAACCAGATATCATGTTGACAGCCAGCGATAACAACCGTGATGGTAGCAGTATCAACATCGGCAATACCTCTGAGAATCAGGAATTGCCAGGCGGTGTGCTGGGCACCTCATCTGAAGCATCTCTTTCCACCTCCCAATCATCCTACCTGCTAGACAGTTTATGTCCCCTGAGCTGAGCTCTGTGGGCGGAGTAGCCCTGTCAACAAGACTGTTTCTGATCACTCTACTTAAAATCTCAAGCATTCCTAACATCACTCCCATTAGCACCCCTCCTCTCTGCCAAATTTCCTTCATTGCATTTGCTGTAGATCATACTCCTTTCAATCACAAAGTTACTCATCTGTCTCCCCTCTGGCATTCAGGCTTCACAACTTCAGGGAGCTCTGTGTTTCCTTTCCTGCCCCATCCCCACTATCTACAACTGTACCTGGCACATAGTAGGCACTTAACAAACATTTGTGGAATGAGAAGGAGGTCAGATGGGGAGGTGGGCGCACAGATGCATGACCACACCTGTTGCCTTCAATCTCGATGATCCGATGATATCGGTCCAGCTCGTTCCTCAGGGTCTGCTGGGCCACAGCCAGCTGCCGGCAGTCATAGGAAGACTTCTCCAGCGTCCGCTCAGCCTCTTCGATCTCCTTCCGCAGGCTCTCAATCTGCTCATTGTAAAGCTGTATCTCATCATCGTAACACTCGTGGGCGTTTTTAATAGCCTGTTCCAGGGTTGTTGTCTGTGGACAAAGACCACGGTGAGGAAATCCATCCCCTCTTTCTCCTAAGATACCGGCTTTGCCAAGAAAACCCAGTCTTTGTGTATGACGTTCTATTTGTTTTGCTGGATTGTTTCTCTAACAGTTACCGATCAGCAATGGCTCATTTTGGAATCTCTTAAGGCAAAGTGGAAAACTAAAACTGAGCTCCTGACACCTTGCACAAAGCCCCAAAGACAATCTGAAGATGACCAATCCAGAAAATAAAAAGAAACCTACTGTCCATGGACAAATAAGTATAACTCAAATAAAGTACATTCTTCATAGTTTAACAACTTAGCATAAATCTGGCAGCCAAAACAACAAGAGAATACATACTAAATAGGAATAATGCTACTTTTCCTGAAATAAGTAAGGGAGGGAAAGTTACCTTGTTCTCATTCAGTCACTTAGGGTGCTTTATTTTTCTCCCAAATTTCAATCGGTAGCATTACATTAAAGTTTGGTTGGCTAAAATATGTGTGTGAGCACATATATGCATATATTATATATATAATATATGTAATGTGTATATGTGTATGCATATAGCTAAAATAATGTCAGACACCTGGCATACCTGAGGCCTGGATTTGATCCCCAACACCACAATGATAATAATAAAAATGGTTATAATGTTAGGGAAATATTATTTTTATATTAATGCAGGACAAGTAAAAATTAAGATAGAAAGAGGTTAGCTTTATATTTGCCTTAAGAGTGTCCAAAAATGTTAAGACCCATGCATGCACTTATTTACAGGCCTAATAATCTGTGCTCACCACTCTTTTATAATGTCACTCTCAAGGAGGAAAGAATTTGACATGCATGACCTGAAAAAGCAAAGAGAAACACTACTTCTACCTATAACAGCATCTCATACTGCTTTAGGCATTAGAACCAGCCATGAATGGTAAGATATCGATTCAGTAGCTCTGGGATGGGACCAGCAATCTTGCATTGCTAACCAGCAACCAGAGCATGTTGGTTCACAGGCCGTCCTTGGGGACAGCCTAGTCTGTGTCCAGCTTCATGCATGCACACTAATGGCATTTCCTGCATCCGGACCTCAATCTGCACATCAGACACCTGGAGGACGATGATACCTAAGACAGTCCAAATCTTTACTTTACTCAGACCTGGCCTTTGAATAAAGAAGTTCCCTAAGTGGCAACATTTGAGAATTTAGCATGAAAAGGTACTCGGGAAAGTATCTATTGTTTCTGGAAGGAGAAAGGGGGGAGGAAAAGTACATGTGCTAAACACTTTGGGAAGATGTCTGACCTGCCTGTGTCATTCCATCCATCCATGCAGGAGAGTCCTGACAACAATGTGGCCTTACACTCTGTCCAGAGCTTAAAGTCAGGGGTGTATCTGACTCAGGTGAGCCCATTACATGCTTTCTGTCCTGGGGCTTTGCAAAGGGATCTCAGAAGTAGCAGCGAGCTGGTGAAAGGTTCTAGACACACTAGAATACATAAGCAGCGATCTGAGGCTACCATCCTGGAGTGACAACCTTTCATAATGTGCATGGAGAAGATGGGAAAGGCAATTCTTCAGAGAGACAGACAAATGGGCCATGGTGTAAAGAAAAACAGGGATGAGGGAGCCTGTGGAAAGAAAAGGAAGATGAGCAGAGAGAAACAGAGTGAGTGGCTGCCTCCGACCCTGGATCCAAGTTCCTGCTGCAGACCTCACCTGCTCTCAAGTTTAAGAAACTGCCTTTTACACCCTGCTCCTTTGGGGAGTAAAAGACTTTCCCAGGGAAAAACTGGCAGACACCATTTTAAGCGAGTGATCAAAGTTAACATCATCTGTAGAAAGCTACAATGACATAACGCAATGCATTGAGGATACAAGGTCATCCCCAAATGCAATGTTCCAAAAATACAGACCTCAGTCTAATCCTGAGAACACACCAGGAAAATCCAAATGGAAGGATATTCCAAGAAATAGCTGGCCTGGGCTTTTCAAACCATCAAGGCCAGAAAGTCAGGAAGACTGAGGAATCTAGGGAGAGACAACACCTACAAACAAGTAAAACCATAGGCCAGAATAAATCACTGGGAAGGCAACTGGTGCAATTTTAGTGTGGTCTATTCACAGTACAGTATCACTGTTAATTTCCTGGGTTTCATCATTGTCCTTTGATTATAAGATGTTAATCATGTTGGGGAGGCTGGGCAAAGAATACATGGGAAACCTTGGTGCTATTTTTGCAACTTTTCAGATGTCTAAAATTATTTCAGAATTAAAAAGTGCCCTTCCTGTTTGGGCCAGTCTGATTTGAGTTTCTGTTCCTCAAAAAAAGAAATCTCAATTCAATAGTCACCTGTGATGTCAAATATCAAGCCACACCCACTGGTTCCCAGGTTCTTGCTCACACTCCAGTGGTCACACACTCCAGGAAACACAAGAGATAAGGGAACTGAAAAGACCCCAAATCTCAGAACTGCTTCACAATGACATGGGAGGAATGTGTAGGGCCATAGATGACATACAAGGGACCATGTATCAAGATAGGGACCTGAGGCTCAGAATTACTCTCTTTCCTGTGTGTGAAATGTTCTATAATAAAGAGTAGAAAGAAAAAAATCAGTATAAAGAGAATCTACGTCCCCTCTGGGTGTGGCTTCCCAGCCCACAGCAGAAGTCATGGGTCCATGCATCAAGCTTACAACAACCTTATTGGGAAGGGCTGTTAAAGATAAAGAAACTGAGACACACAGATGAAGTGTCTTGCCCATAAATACCACAGCAGGATTCAACCTTACCTGTATAGTGTCTGAACACTTTCTGAATCCATGGGGCCTCCCTGCCCCATCTCTTTCCTGCTGCAGGTGAGCTGCATGTACACACACACACAACACACACACACACACACACACACACACACAGAGGCACTTGCAAATGCACTCCAGGCCTTAGAGAACTCTGCATTGCCACACCTCAACAGGCAGACACAGGGTATTCTCACAATAGACACAGGGTACTCAGTGAGACCCCAATACAAATCCCTCCTTGAATGTTTTCACTTAGCAAAGTTTTATACTGTAAATAGAATATGAAAGGATTGTCACAAAGTGAGACATTAGAGACTAGGAAAGTCACTTCATCCATAGTCTTCTACCCTACAGGGCAAGTGTGATCTTTTTTATATCTCATTAAAAAATCATCAGACGAACTTTTGTTTGTTTAAGGTAGAAGGTCGGTTGGGTGGTGGGTTTTTGGTTGGTTGATTTGTTGGTTTATTGGTTTATTTGTTGTTTAGCTGATGGTTGAAGAAGGATGTATGCTTTCAAGGCTGGATGCCCTTGGATGGAGTGCTGGGAGGACAAAGGGTCCACGCCACAACTTTCAGGCACCTTCCAACCTCTCACAGGCAGTTGAGGCTCCATGTGATTCTGTTTGAATCAGCCCAAATTCTACAGTGTCCGAGGAAGGGATGACTGCTTTTATGAAATTGGACTTCTGTCTACACCGCTGTGGTTTTTATAACTCAGTAATTTACACTATTTATCAGAAGCAGAACTATTCAGGAAAACTAATAAGAGCCCCACCCTTAGCTCAAAGGGGGCTAAGGGACACGCCTGGGAGGAGCCACCTGGCACCGTATCAGGTACCAGCCAGCACCAGCCCAGCTGTAGGAGAATGAGACTCGGAGCTCACCGTCCAGCGCAGGAGGTGGTTCAATCGCATCACAGACAAGCCCGGGTCATCTCAAGCACATGGAGGGGACTTTCAGGAAAAAAGTCCTAGATGCTGAGAGAGGAAAGAGGTCTCCAGAAAGAAGAGAAAATACGCAAAAGGGCAGGTGTCAGAAACTGCAGAAAGGTCAGGAGAGAAGAGAGGGTGGCCAAGGTCACCTTGAGGGGAGCAGCCAAGATGACTCTGGAGAGAGAGGCAGATGGAGGAGGGGGCCATGTGGCAACTTGAACTTTAAGTTCTGCAGTGTTTCTGCCAGGACCATTAGATCGCCTGGTTCATCTCTGTCTCCCTACTGAGCTGCAGCAGCAGAGGGCAGCAGCACATGCAGGAACCTGACAGGAAGCCACATCTGCAGCAGTGAGCTCCTGCATTAGTCTTCCTAGGACCTCAGACGCCTGTGGGGCGTCCCGCCCGCCCCCCGCCCCACAAAGAAGAGAAGAAATCAGTATTCTTCACTGATTACGTATTGTCTTACCAATACTTACCACTAGAGGGTACTAAATGACTGCAATAAGAAGGGGCCTGGGAGGTTCCCACTTCACAATTACTAAAATTTTTTTCACTTCCCTATCACAGAAATTCTCACCCCACACAATTTGGAAAGCCAGAATTGCCTTTCCTTCCTCCTCCACCCGTAAGACATGCCATCTTCAGGGGTATTATGTGTCTCTGTTCAGCTTACTTGAAGGAAGGGTCCCCAGAGGGATTGTTAAGACAGGGATTGCCCCATCAGAGTAACTGATGCAGTTGTTCTGGAATGTGCCCATGAATTTGCATTTGTGTGTGTGTGTGTTACTGGGGATTGAACCCAGGGCCTCACACATGCTAGGCAAGCACTCTTCCTCTTGAGCCACACTCCCAGCCCATGAATTTTATTTCTGACAAGTTCCCAGATGCTGCTGATGCTGCTGGGCCAGGGGAATCACCCTGAGGACGCTGCCATGGAGGAATTCTCAAAGAATCAGAGGCCCCAACCAGAGGCAGAAGAAGCAGCCACTGCCCTGCCAGATGCTCTCCCTCCCTGGCCCTCCTCCTTGTCCCCATCACAGCACTGGCCTGACTGAGGGGCTATGCAAACAAACCTCCGTGGAGTTCTTGACTCACCTGTTCCAATCAAACAAAATCTCTTCAACTATCAAAACAATGACCATAAACATTTTGAATAAGGTTGTGAAGGGCACAGGCAGGACTCAATAGGATCAGGTTCAGAGCCTTCAGAACCTACCTGGAACACACCCTTATACCCATGGTTCCAAGACCAACATCATCACTATCACCTGGAAACTTGAAAACACATCTGTCTCGGGCTCCACCTCAGACCTACGGAGTCAGAAACTCCTGATGGGCCCAGCCAGGTGAAGTTTTAAATTAGAGTTAATTAGACAAAATCTTGGTCCCCATGACCTTTGCCCCTTGGTGTTATACCTACGAGTGTTACATGGCACATTTACTCTGCAGATGTAATTAAGGTTCTTAATCAATTAACCTTTTTTTCTTGACCATACTGGGGATTGGACTCAGGGCTTCATGCATGTTAAGCAGGCCTCTAACCACTTAAGCCATGCCCCCAGCCCTCCATTAACCATTTTAAAAAAGGAACTTCTTCTAAATTAATCCTAATCACATAAATCCTTTGAAGCAGAAACCAGAGAAATCAGAAATAGAAGTCAGAGAGACTAGAGGCTTGGGAGTTTCCACCCACTGCTGCTAGGTGAGGCCTTAGGCCAAGGAACAGGGCAACCTGTGTGGCCAACAGCTCCTGGCCAACAGCCAGCAAAGAGACAGGCTCCTTGGCCCTATGTGCACACAGAACTGAATTCTATCAGCAACTTGAATGATAGTGGATGCAAATTCTCCACCAAGATCCTCCAGACAAAGGCCTAGCTGGCCCACGCCTTTATTTTAGCCTTGTAAGACCCAGAGCAGAGCATTTCAACCGAAGCTGTCCATATGTCTGCCTTACAGTGAGAGAACAAATGGGTGTTATTTTAAGTCCCTAGGCTGTGGTAATTTATTAAGGCCCTAAACTTGTGTTTCATTAATTAAACCCACAGCTGGATTTTGTTATTGAATGCAGTCATCCTTCCATATCCACAGAACCACATCCACAGATCCAACCAAATGGGGATTGAAAATATTTTCTTGATTGTGTCTGTACTAAATGTGCACAGACATTTTTTCTTGTCATTATTCCCTAAACAATGCAGGATAACAACCATTTACATAGCATTTAATTGTATTATAAGTAATCTCGATATGATTTAAAGCATACGGGGAGGATTACATATGTGATGCACAAACACTATGCTAAGTTACATAAGGGAGTTAAGCGTCCACAGATTTGGTATCTACAGCAGTGCTGGAACCCATCTCCCACTGATACTGAAGGATGATTGTATAAGCACATATAGACAGTCCCAGACTTCAATGGGTCAATTTAGGATTTTTTTTTTTGGCAGTACTGGGGATTGAACTCAGGGCTTGGAGTTCACTAAACAGGTGTGCTACCACTTGAGCCACACCTCCAGCCTTTTTGTGTTGGCTCTTTTTGAGATAGGGTCTCGCTTTATGTTCAGGCTGGCCTAGACCACAATCCTATCTGTGCTTCCCCATATAGCTGGGATGACGGATACACACCACCATGCCCAGATATTCCTTGAGATAGAGTCTCAAGAACTTTTTGCCTGGGTTGGTCTTGCACCATGATCCTCCCCATCTCTGCCTCTCAAGTAACTAGGATTACAGCCTTGAGCCACCTCGCCCAGGTGAAACCATACTTTTATTGTGCACTTTGTCCTTTCCTGGGCTAATAGTATTCAGTACAGTCCTCTTGATGCAGGGAAGTGGCAGTGAGCTGCATCTCTGAGTCAGCCTTGAGATCACAGGGGAAACAACCAGCCCTCTGCAGTGCGCTGTGTTGCTAAATCAGGGTGTGTGATAGGTTAGCTGTAAATAACTTTCAACTTGTGATATTTCAACTTATGATGGGTTTGTCAGGTGTGATCCCACTGTAAGTCAAGGAGTGTTTAATATTCTTATACATGAAATGATTTGAGATTATTTTGATAATTGTCTCAATATTAATGGGTTGCTTTTAATATCTGTATTTCCTGCTTTAACTTTTTTTTTTTCTGAGAAAGGGTCCACAGGCATCACCAGACTATCAAAGGCTGTGGTGGGGAGAGGACTAGAAGAGAGGGTCAGGACCCCTGCTTTAGAGACCAGAATAATTAGTCTCTGCAGCAACAGAGGGTAGGAACAGGAGGCCGACCAGACAGTTTTGCTTCATGTTCTCACAAACTAGACTAATCCTTTATGAAATGTCTTATTTTTATATTCAACAAGTGCACACACGTATGTAGAAAAAGGAAAAACTCTTTTTGCACTGGAACTACAATTTTCAACATCAGGCTGGGTGAGCTCTTTCATCTTTCTTGGTATCTAGGCAGTGGTTTTCAACTTTGTCACCACAGCCACAGGAAATGATACATTTCACACTGCATCACAGAAATGTATGTGCATTTGTACAAATGTATATGAATTTAAATGTGTATTTAAAATAAAGATTTCACAAAACAAACCCTACCTTCTACTTTTTATACATTCCGTTATTTCTTATTCTATTCTACACACTCTAGGTTTTTTTTTTATATCAGTCAATTCTGCTGAACTCATTTTACACCCAATGAGTTATAAATAGTCTGGAAAACACTAGTCTCCAGCATCACAACTGGGCCTGCACCCACTTCCTCAATCTTACCTGCCACTCACAGCACAGACAACACACAACACACATCCCACATACATATGCACAGAACACACACTTTACAAATACACACCACACAATACACAGGCAACACATACACACTCACCACACATATCACACACATACACCACAAATGCATCCCATGTACGTGATGCACACCACTCACACTTTACATATGCATGCCACATACATAAACACTCATATACTCACAGCACATGCACACGTACCTCACGCATTGCACAAACACCACACACATATATGCTACACATGCATACACCCCCTACATGTACCTGTCTCCTTCTCTCTCTGCCTCTCTGTCCTTCTATCCTTTCAGGCCTTAGTTACCAAGATGAGGCATCTGGTCCCTGAGCCGTGGTTTATCTCCTAAGAAGAACAGTTTTTTTTTTTTTTTTTCCTTCTGGTATTTTTATTTTATTTTTTTTTCTTTTATTATTCATATGTGCATACAAGGCTTGGGTCATTTCTCCCCCCTGCCCCCACCCCCTCCCTTACCACCCACTCCACCCCCTCCCTCTCCCCTCAACCCCCTCCATACCCAGCAGAAACTATTTTGCCCTTATCTCTAATTTTGTTAAAGAGAGAGTATAAGCAATAATAGGAAGGAACAAGGGTTTTTGCCGGTTGAGATAAGGATAGCTATACAGGGAGTTGACTCACATTAATTTCCTGTGCATGTGTGTTACCTTGTAGGTTAATTCTTTTTGATCTAACCTTTTCTCTAGTTCCTGGTCCCCTTTTCCTATTGGCCTCAGTTGCTTTTAAGGTATCTGCTTTAGTTTCTCTGCATTAAGGGCAACAAATGCTAGCTAATTTTTTAGGTGTCTTACCTATCCTCACCCCTCCCTTGTGTGCTCTCGCTTTTATCATGTGATCAAAGTCCAATCCCCTTGTTGTGTTTGCCCTTGATCTAATGAGAAGGACAGTTTTAAAGACATCATTCAATTTGGTCTCCAGCTCAGGAGACAATCACAGTCTCAGGTTTCTTTCCAGTGGCCTCTGAGAGCTGCCACAAAGTGAGTTTTGTGATGCATGCATTGGGGCTGGGAAGTAAAATGTCTCACTCTTGTGGTCCCCAAATGAGCTTCTGAGCAAGTGGGGAGGCACTAAATATGAAATGTACCACATATAGCTGAGGCTGTAATTTTTTGATTTTGTGGACAGGATAGAGACTAAGTAACATAACATCCCATGTTGTAGATTTTTAGATGTTTTGCTCTCTTGTCCTGTATATGTACTTGCTTAACCAAATGTCAACTTCTTTTCTGATTTGGGAAATGTGATTGCAGTCATAGGAAGCTGCAGTATCTTAACCCAACATTCCCATCACCATGGCCAGCTCTGTGACAAAAAAAAGAAAAGAAACAAGGGAATGAACCACGAGGCCCCTTAGTCAGGAAGGCAGGCCACAAAAACAGGTTTGGCTAGGGAAGGGTGGAAATGTGAGTTTTATGCTAACAAATGTCCTACCGGAGCAAGTACTTTCCAGGTGCCAAATCAAATTCTAAAGGACAAATTTTATCATGAGAAGTAAGACAGGAAACATGGATTTAAGTGAGTGTAGAATTTTGAAAAGTATTTCTTTTTAGTGGGTTTGGCCTGGGAAAAATGAACCTGTAATGAAGCTGGCATAGCTCACCCTTGGGGGAGGGGCGTGACCCAAAAGGAAGTGCGAGGAAAATTGCTGCAGGGCTGGTATTTCCATTCTCCATTTGCCTAGGGCTCTTCCAGGTGGGAGTCCTGAAGCCTAGGAAACCTCAGTCCAGGGCAAAGCGAAACATGTGGCCATCTGCTCAGGCAGGACATTGTGATTCAACTGGACACACAGGTGTGCTCAGTTTGTGACAACTGCAGCTGGATACCTGTGTATGTATGTGACATGTCAATAAAATGTGTGCGAGACCCTGATTCATACATGTGGTGTGAAGGCCCGATGGTGACTGGCAGACAAGAAAGTGTAGCATGTACCTGGGCCTGCAGCTCAGCTCTCTGTGCCTGCAGGTGGGACAGCACCCCTCGGCCCTCCTCCAGCTGACTCTGTAGGACAGCCACTTCCCGTTCTGTCAGGAGCTTCTCCTGCATGAAGAAAGCCAGACTTAGACTCACATTTAGCAGAAAATACAAAGATGAAAGGTATAAAGACAGCATGTGGTCCTACTATGGACCAAATGCAGGGAAGCCTTAATCCCCAAGGTGATGGTATTAGGAGGTGGGATCTTTGGGATGTGATTAAGGTTAGATGAGGTCATGAAGGTGGGGCCTCATGGTGGGATCTGTCCCATTATGAAAAGAGGAAGAGACACCAGGGTGTTCTCTCTCTCTCTCTCTCTCACACACACACACACACACAGCAAGAAGCTGGCCATATACAAGTTAGGAAGACAGTCCTCAGCAGATGCCAATTCTACTGGATTCTTACTTGATCTTGGACTTTCGGCCTCCAGAACAGTGAGAAATAAGTATCCGTCTATGGAATCCTGTTCTAGCAGCCTGAGCTGACTTCTCTTCATGCCAAAGTGACCTCTCTTCATGCCTTTTGTTTTGTCTTCCAAGTCTAAACCAACTAACACTTATGGGTAAAGCACAGATACTAAGTGTCAGGAGACCCAAGAATAGAACTGTTTTTACCACAAACTGGCTAGGCAAGGCATTTGACTCTCAAAGACCTTGTTTTTCCTTCTGTGGGAAAAAAAAAAAAACAAAAACCTGGAATCCAAACTCTTACTCATCTATGCATTATGTGTCTATGAAGATTACAGCCTGATCTCTGAGCCACCAACTGTACCAAAGCATAAGGTAGGAGCCATCAGGCCCTAAAAAGTGAAAGGGAAGCAGGACCCTGGTAAGGCCACTATGGACGCTCTGTGGAATGGCCTAGAAGGAAATCCATCCTCTGCATGCAGGAATTCCCCTCCTTACTTGCCTCTCCACTGTCTATTCAAAAATACTCAAGTTCAGTCATAAAAGCCTGACTGCGCAAGAGTCCTGTCTTCTGCCACAGATCACACAGAGCATGCTAACTCAAAGCTGCACAAACTCGAAAACCAAATCCATGCCAAGTCCTCTCTGTGTTCAGGCTGACATCTAGAAGGCAGACCCCTGCTCACAAATGCCTCACAAATGCACCTGCTGTAGTTTGGATCTGGAATGTCCCCCAAAAGCCCTTGTGTTAAAGGCTTGGTTGCAGCCTGTGGAACTACTGGTAGATGGTGGAACCTTTAGGACGTGGGGCCTAATGGAAGGAAGTTAGATCACTGGGGGCATGCCCTTGAAGGGGATATTGAAATTCTGACCCCCTCCTCTCTCTCTGTGTCTCTCTGCTTCCTAGCTGCCACAAAACGAATAGGCCTCCTCCACCATACACTCCTGCCATGGTGTCCTGTGCTATCACAGGTCCGAACACAACAGGACCAAACAACCATGGACTAAAACCTCTAAAACTGTGAGCCAAAATAAACCTTTTCCTTTGTTGATTTTCTCAGGTACTTTGTCACAGTGATGGAAAGCTGACTAACACAGGGCTAGAGCCACCACTCAGGCCCACAGCTTCGAAGCTGGAGCAAGACAGACTTTGTGGGAAGGAGGTGTGGATTGGCCCCTTGGCCCAATTATATGGAGAAGGCCAGACCCGAGCCTTAATTGAAGAGGGCCTCCTCAGCTGTGTCTGTTCATTCTCATTTCTTAAAGGGTGGAGGCATGCTTTTCTTGTAGTATTTCTCCTCTGTGTCTCGCTCAGACACTGGTTCTCTGTCTCTGACTTATTTGCTCCTCTGTGTCTCAGTCCCCACCTCACTGTCAAGATGGTGTAGACTAGGATGCAGCTAGGAGAAGAAGGGAATTCATGTCCCTGAGGACCAGTATTTACAGCAGACTTGCAAATGCACTATGCCTTGCAAATTGTAGACCTGCAGCCTCAGGACAGCAGTCAACATAGTGCAAATCCATTACACCTTTCCTGCCAGGCCTCTCCTCACCACCTTGACCCTGTTCACCTTTAGATCCCTGCCCACCTTCTCATAGGATTCCTCCCCTAGGATGCCACCTGCATTGCCTCACACATGGAAGGTCCTAGAACACTCACTGCGGAGAAAGGAAGATAGCTGTCCTTTGGTAGCTGGCACTGTAGCCAGGCGATGATGCTCACTACTTATAAATGTTGCTACTTAGCCCAGACCAAAAGGTCACTGAATGACTACAGAATCAACATGTATGCCCTCCCCACTAACACAACGTGTGGCTTTGTGACCACGCACAGCTGTAGTCACACTCCACTCCTCTGCATCCCAGATTCAACTATGGAGAGACTCAGCCATGGGGCTAACCCTTTTCTGAGAGCACCTAACCGTAAGCATGATGGCTTCCTCCTCCCCCATATCACCTATGAGGCCCAGGTGCCACGCCACTTCTTTCCTCTACTGAGACATCCCTCAGGTCTCCACAGGGTTCAGGACCCCTCTCTACAGGGAATAACAAGCCCAGCTTCCATAACTCCAGGTGTGTCCCATGTGGCCTTTGGCTATTAGGGCACTAATAGCATGCCTTCCTGACACATAAACCAGTTGACCTGGTTCCTAGGGAGCAATGCTAACCATATCCTCATTTGTGCAAAGGTGACTTCCACAATTCCTAGGACAATAACAAGATTCAATGTAACGAACCTGAAAGTGACTAACTGGTTTGCAGAATTGTTAAGCCAAGATTCATAAAGAATTGAATGCTTTCTAAATCTGAGCCTCTTGATCTTTGTGTGCATACAAATCAAGGAGATCTTGCTAAAATGCAGAGCCTGGCTCGACCGGTATGAGGTCCAGAAGGGCTGGACATTCTGCATTTCTCAGAACTCCCAGGGCTGCTATCAAATAGGTCCTATCAGTCCCTATGTTATTAGGACTCAAAAGGATTCTGTTACAAGTGAACATATGATAAGATCTTAAAAGCCTGTTTGCATGTAACTCACATTAAATTAGAGGGGAAAGTGAGTTTGAAAAATAAAAATAAGGTCTCTGGAAAAGAAACTCTGACAGAGAAAATTAGGCTTCAAGAAAGCTATAGTAGGCCTGGGAGCGCCTCAAAGACAGTCATTAAGGAGAACAGGAGTCTGAAATGGTATTTGGTTGGTAATTTGGAAAGAAAACTCCATGAAGGTAAAAAAAAAGTAACTTTCCTGCCTCTTAGATTAAACTTGGCAGGGTTCAAAAGTGCCTTCTAAGGCAAATTTGGGGATTTCTTTTAATTTTGACACAAAAAATTAAGTTAAAATGAAAAGACTCAAGCACATCATACCCAGCCCACTGCTTCTCCAGCCTGTCTGTGCTCTGGTTGCCAGAGAACAGAGCCCTACTTCCTAGGGACCACTCACTGACTTAGGGCATGGCCTGAGCACATTTCTGGGAAATTCCTAGTGTCACCAGGGTTAAGAACCACTGTCTTAGGTCATCCTTGGAAAAAAAAAAGAAAGAAAAAAACCACAAAAAGAATCTTATTGATCAGTCCACCAAACTCTGTGGAGAAGGGACATGGTGAGTGAGTGTGCGTGTGTGTGCGTGTGCATGTGTGTGCATGTGTGTGTGCGTGTGTGTGCGTGTGCATATGTGTGTGAGTGTGTGCATGTGTATGCGTGTGCGTGTGTGTGCGTGTGTGTGTGTGCATGTGCATGTGTGTGTGCGTGTGTGTGTGTGCCGGCGAGCAAATCCAGGGTGTCAAGCATACTAAGCATGTGCTTGTCCACTAAGTTACACTCCCAGCTCCCCAGCTGACATTTTAATTTTAGCTAGCATCATTTTCAGTTTATTTTTATATTGTATCAAATGCATCACAAAATTCCAAAGACCACATCAGGGAAAAAAAAAATATGTCACTATCCTGTTGAGCAGCTAGAGAGTTAAGTGAAGAGGAAAATGAGAGCATGATATTGTATATAATATTTAACACTCATCCCCAGTTTTTGCAAACTGGCTTCAATAATCTCCATCTCTTCTCAGGAGCTATCATGCCACAGACTCACACAGTCATTAGCACAGCCTGGTCTTCAAAACGTATTTACTACATGTCTGATCTGACTTTCTCTATTAGCAATGTATGACCAAATTGATACAGAGAAAAAGAAAACAACCCACTATGATTTCAATGTGCCCCCCAAAAAATTCATGTGTTGGAAACTTAATCCCCAATGCAACAGTATTGGGAGATAGGGCCTAGTAGGAATCCTCAAAGTAGGGAATGCTGTTTCAAAGGGACCATGAGAGCTTTGTCCACATTGATCCTATAGATTAATGTCTCTGTTAAAGAGCTTGCAGAGGACGAGGGGCATGGCTCAAGAGGTAAAGCACTTGCTTAGCATGCAATAAGCTCTAGGTTCAATCCTCAATACCAAAAAAAAAGAAAGAACTTGCGAACTGACTTCTCATGAGTACTCAGACAGCTCATGCCTTTTTTGCCCTTTCTGCCTTCCACCATGTAAGAAGCCCCTCTTACCAGACTGCCCTTACCAAAAGCCAATGCCTTCATCTTGAGTTTCCCAGACTCCATAATTGTGAGAAAGGAATTTCTGGTATGTATAAATTACACAGTCTGTAGTATTCCATAATAGCAGCACAGACTTAGACCCAATCCAATTTTTTTTTAATGGGCAAACAATGTGGACAAATATTTCAACAAAAAAGATATGTGGGTAAAAAATAAGCCCATACAAAGGTGCTCATTAGTCACTAAGGTATGCAAATTAAATCACAATCAGATACAGAGTATACCTAGCAAAGAACAAAACAAAAAAAGTTAAAGGCTGCCATATCAAGAATGCACTCTCATTCATGACTAGGGGGTGCGACAAAGGTACATACTATACATAACTATAATGATAGCTGGAATACGAGTTGTCCCTCCAAAAACTCATACTGGAGTTTAATCTCCATTGTGCAGATTAAGAACATGGAAACTAGGCAGGTGTGGTGACTTATGCCTGTAATCTCAGCACTCAGAATGCTGAGGCAGGAGGATCAAGAGTTTCAGACCAGCCTGGGCTACATAGTGAGACCCTGTTTCAAAAAAGAAGATGGAAGTTTAACTGGACTATGGTGTAAGAGGTGGGGACACTAGAAAGTGATTAACATTAGAAAAGGCCATGACTGAATCCTGCTGGCATTATGAGAAAAGTCAAAGGATTCACACACACACACACACACACACACACACACACAGTCTCTTGCTCCGGGATGCCCTCTACCACGTTGGAACTCTGCCTGCAAAAAGATCATCACCAGATATGCCCCCTTGACCTTGAATCTCCAGAACCATAAGTCAAAATAATCCTCTTTTCTTTATAACATATCCATTCTGTGGTATTGTGTTATGAGCAACAGAAAAAAGACTGAAACTGTACACCACTGTGGAAAAGTTTATCAGTTTCTTACAAAGTATACAAGAGAGAACAGATGACTACTTCCAAGAGAAAATGATCAGAGACACAGTTTATGTCCTCTAATATCTAAATATCCTCATTTACCTCAGAATAAACTTCAAACACAACAGTGACTGTGACTCCCCTCATGGTCTGACCCACTACTTGTCCCTGGGCTTCTGCCAAAGTCAACTAGACCCCCCCAAGGATGTGAGGGAGGGTCCAGGTATGACTTCCCCCAAGACTGGTTTGCTTTCCCTTCTTACCTCCCTGATCCCACCAGCAATGGTGGACACTGGAGGAGCAGTCTGGATGATCTGCTGCAGGATGCTGATGTAAGTCTGAATTTCCAGAAGATTCTGTTCAGGGAAGGAAAGCATTCTTGTTATAAGCTGATCTTCCCAAATCTTCCCCTCCTGTCCTAGGAATGAATAATTTCACACATTCTTCCACAACAGTGATTAAGCTGGGGATGAAAAGAGGGTGATGAATTGGCTGCCACTGATAACACCATGTGTCTACCATGAAGTGGCCACTTTATATCCCCTTTAATCTTCACAAGGACAACAGGGCAGATGAGTTAACTAAGGCTTGGTTTTTGTTTTTGTTTTACTGTTTCCCATCAGTTACCTTAGCTGCTAGCTTCACAGAGTTCTGGATAGCAGAAACATGGGAGAAAAACAGAGCAAACCGTGCCTGCAGGGTACAAAGGAGCCTTCTGGCACCAGCAAAGAGGGGGCAGCTTTGATCAGTCATAAATGTCTAAGTATCAGACAAGACATTGAAATCTCCTAAAATGTGAGTCCTATAAAACAGGAGGCTTGATGCCTTAACCGGCCAGTGCTCTATCCTCAGTCATGGGTGATGACTGATAGCACAGCCTTTTCCAGAGAGACATCTTGGCCAACCAATGGTCATCCTGTCCAGGAAACTACACAGGCCCACATCATCCCACCTCAGGCCAATGGTCAACTAAAGCAGGAGTACAAAAGACCAACAACCTTCTTGCCTCTTAGTAGGATCCACCCTATGGTGTGATTTATACTCACTCCAGAGTTCCGTGGGCATCCAGATCAATGCTAGTAGGTATCTTTGGGAACCAGAAGCCTCAGAGAGGCAAGAAGGAGCTGGGGTATTGATATACTATCTCCCATCAGCCATAAGTAGAGGCTGCTTTCAGGGACACAAGTACCCCACTACTTCTCTATGGGACACAGCAGTCTCCAGTTGCTGGGAAATGGTCCTCAAACAAAGAGTTGCCTATACTGGCAGTAGGAGAGAGTTCAGAGCCCACAGTCAAGGGAAGCATGGAGGGTCAGGGTCAGCCATTCACAGGCCTATTACACTAATTAACTCACACAGCTACTCTGGAAGGAGAGGCTAGCATTTGCATTTTGATGATGAAAAAACAGCCTAGAGAAGTCAGGCCACTCACCCATAGTTCACAGGTCCAGGATTTGATTTTTCCAGTACACCAAGGCCCCCCAACCTGAGAAGCTGGTTGGGGCAGATAAAGACCAGGACACTATAGGAGAGGAAGCACCTGAAGAAATGTGTTCTTCAATAAAGACTGAGAGCTATAACACAATATTTTTTTTTTTGCTTTTTTTTTTTTTTGCATTTTTTGAGTTTAAACAGTTGACCATTTGTAGCTTAATCAAGACAGATCTATCTAAAGCACTTTGTAAATGATAAAATTAGATACTAGTCCCCACCACTACAATACAGATACTACTCCCCAACTTACCCCCATTGCCTGCTTCTCTACACATCTTAGGGTATATAGCTCAGTACGTGCTGTCCAGTGATGATCCATTCCTGATTTGGTTCAGGCAAAAATGCATGTAAAGGTTGCCCACTCCAGCAGTCCCAGAATGTCCTGGGCTCATCTGAACAAACCCAAACTGGGTTTTCTGGAAGGAAGGGCTTCAGAAGGGTCACAGTTACCTTTTTGTACCTGTCCTTGGCTGCAGTGATATCGTCTTGCAGAAACTGGGCTTCAAGCTGAAGGTGCAGATTATTCAGCAAAGCTTCATCAGCTTCCTGCAATGAGAAAAAGCCACACAGCCTGAGTTGCAGGGGTGCCTTGGTGTAAAGTCAGTCAGGTACCAGAGCACACAGACCACAGATTCTTGCTCAGTAGGTCTGGGAGTGGGTCTAAAAGTCTACATTCTAGCAAAGCCACTGAACCCAGCCTAGAACAGTAGTTTTTACCAGGGGGGTAAATTTGCACTCAAGGGTACCTTTGACAATGTCTGAAGACATTAAGTGTCAGTACTTGAATGGTGGGTGTAGGTACTAGGTAGAGGCAAGGGAGGCTGCTATATACAGGGCTTCCCCCTGACCCATACACACAAAGAGAACTCTAGTCTAAAATACCAATAGTGTCAGGGTTGAGAAACCTTGATCTAGAAAGGTTTTAGAAGTCAAACCTCAGAAAATTCTAAAACTCAGAGGCTGAGGCAGGGGGATCAAAAGTTTGAGGCCAGCCTAAGCTACATAGCAAGTTGCAAGCCAGCCCTGGACTACCTAGAAATACCGTCTCAATCCCCATCCTACCCATCCCCCACAAAAAAAATAAAAGAAAGAGAGATCTGAGAGTTGGGGATATTTACATACTATATAACCTTAAAATTAAACATCCTACATTTAACATTTATATTTGTCTATATCTTGCCACCAATAACTTGAGTTTCTACGACTAAAACAGAGAAATGGTTTTCCTTTAATACTGAAACCTGGATTTTAACAATTTTCTCCCAAGAACTGTTAACATTCATCTTAAAATGAAGCTTTAAAACAAAACGCATTTTTTTAGAATGATTGTTGTCATAAACAACATTTGTTACTTTAAAATTGGAAATGACACTTAACACAAGTTAAATTTTCTCTTGGAACTTTCTGAAAATTCAGCCTTTTATCACACTGATGTTGGTTGGATAAACCAAATAGGCATGTGATGTCTAAAATTGTCTTAGATACTTCAAGTGTTCAAGGCAATATTACAGGTGAGCATTACTTAGGTTGGACAAGATTCTCTACTTCCTCACCTCCCACACATACTTATCTGGCATGCACACCTGCCATATTTACCTGAGGCCTTGGTAAGTAGATTTTTGCTGACTTATTAACAACTGACAATTGACTAGTTAATAGGCCTGATGAATATTAGCAATGGATCCTCATTAATAAAGGTGGATATGGGCTTTGACTAAAATATTTAAGAGGGATGAACAGAGTTAAGACAGACAAAATAAGTGGACTGGCCAAGGTATTTTGAGACACCACCAACCCTTGTACTGATAGGGTTTAGGTTCCAGCAAAGCCTTTGGACTGTCTCTGGAAAGGCACTTGATTCCTTAACTGTTCTTGTAAATGACTACTGATGTAGGAAGATTCCTAAATACCAAAACTGATAATCAGGTTATGGAAATTGACTCCTGCAGGATCTGCCTTGAATGACCTATGATGCCACACAGCTGGGACTTCATGAAGCCTACAGAGCAGGTTATGTAGACTTTGGGGACTTGCATCAGAATAAATGCTCTGCATCCATCCCTATGCCCTTTGGGAGCAGTGGTTCACTGTGGAGTAACTCACCACCCCAGAGCCGGGGATACCCTGTCACAAAGATATGGCTTAATCTGGGGCAGAGGAGAAGGGATGCTGGGTGAAGACCTGGAGCCAATTTCTCTGGATGTTTTTCTAACCCTCCCTTTGCCCTTCTTAAGCCAGCTGAGGATGGGGTGGGATGGAAAAATCTCAAGTGTCTATATTTTTATCAAAAGTGAGTCTGCAATGGATCCACAATTACTGGAGCCAAAGAACTGGACATAGGGTTTTGAGAATCCCTTGTATTGTGACTTACAGATCAAACATTCAGAATTTTAGAAATAGAAGGTCCTTAGAGGTCACTGGTCCTCAGTTTTTAAGCCACTAGTACTACCCTTCAAAGTGCCCATGGAAGCCGACGCATAGGATCAGAGCAAGGATGCTTTCTTGTCTTCCTGGTCACAGGGCTTCTGGGGGTTGAACCCAGCATGTGCTCCACCACTAAATTGCACCTCAGCAGAAATCCTCTTCATATTCTTATAGAGCATAATGGGCTACAGGCACCCCCATCTGTCTAGCAGCCCTGTACCCTCAGGGGTCCTTCAGGTGACTCCAGGGAACTTGAGAGCTCTGTCAAGTGCAGTTCAGAAACTGAGGTCTATTTTACAGAAAGGATGCTTAGGCCTAACTGGTCAGTGGGTCATTCAGCTAGTTACAGAAGACAAAGGGCTGGAGCCTGTCTTGGGCTTTTCTGCACTGGTTAGGAGTTGGGTGTGGGGTAAATACCCCATCCTGCCGATGCCTACCATCCCTCCCACCACCTGCTTAGGATCAGGCCATCAGTTAGGCCTTTAAAACTGTGGTAATAACAAAAGGACAGTCAATATTTGTCCTTAAAATAGGGACTAACCAGATACTTCTGCTTTGAGGACAATCACCTAACAAACTGACCAGAAACATCCCCTTCCATCCCCTAGGTGAGTCAGTGTTGCTGGAATGTGCGGTTGCTGATCTGTTGAGGAGAATTTGTTTTGGATGTGTTTTCTTTTGTTTGTACCAAAACTCAGAAATGTGTAGACGCTGTGTTTTTATTATGCTTGTGATGCTGTCAGCAGGATGTTCAAAAGCTTCACCAGAAGCATCTAGATTTTTCTGAATAGAAAGTTTGGGTCAACAGTCTAATATTAGAAAATAATTTAACCCAATAATTGTGCATATTCTATGTAGAACAGTGGTTCTCAAAGTGTGGTCCTTGGTCCCTCCCAAAATTACTAAGGCTGATGTCCTTCCAGGGCCTAGCCTGGAGAAAGAGACTGGGAGATTTCTCTCTCTTTCTCTCTCCCCTTTGTCTCATTTTCCTCAGGTCTGCTCTCCCTCCCTCTGCATTCTCCCCATTCTTCCTCCACCCTACTTTCCCCTCGGCCTCTCCTCCCCCAATCTCCTCCTACATGCTATCTTCCAGATTCCTCCTCTCTTCTCTGGAAGCTCCTTTCCAGCCTCAGAGGAGTCCTTGGCCATGTGGAAGCTGGTAGCGTGGAAGGTGAGAGCTTCATATCTCACCCTTCTGTGCCCTAACACCCCTGGCCTCTTTGCCACAGACAAGTCTAGAGACACACAAAATGCAGGGAAAAATCATGTATGTCAGCCTTTATGTATTTTAATTGTTTTTAAGTGAATACATTTAAGTAGAACCTATATCACCTTAAATTCCTGGAGATTTTAATGAAATAAAGTGAAAATTTTGAAGCCTGCTCCTTTTAGTTTCCTTAAGATAAGCAAACTCAGGCATTATCAGGGACTAATAACTTCCTGTTGTACATCTTTAGTGACAATGAGATCTAGACAAACTTGAATATTTAAAAGTCATCTGAAATTCTTTGCTCCATCGAAAGGCTGGGAGTGTGAATAATTTTGGCAATACCATGTAAGTAGTTTGTTGAGGAATTTATTTCCCTTCAAAGAGTGGCTTTCCTCAGCTTATCTAGATGGCTATTAGAAACGCAGGAGCTCTAGTCAGGAGGTTTAATTACCTGGGCAGCATGGATAAGCAGCAGGTTGTGAGAAAAGTAGCAACCAGTGCTTTCATATACATTGTGATATTTTTCCAAACAGGATGCAGAGACTGGGCCAATGATTCCCCATAGCCACATCCAAGGAAGAATCCCTTCTGCCAGTGAGGCTGCAGGAAATGGGCACTGAGGCTAAGTGGAGTCAAAATTTTTTTGATTTAAAGTAAGCAGACATCCAAAGACTTGTCCACCAAAGTCACTGATCTGATCAGTTGACAAGATGAGAATTCTACTTGTCCCTTTCAGCTTCTTCCTTCTCATCTGATAATCTCCATGGAGAAGAAAAGGTACAGCTGGCCAACTCCTTGGGGGGCTTTCTTAATTGGTGTTCTCTGGAAGCTTACCCGAAGGCGAAGACATGGTGTTCATTTGGGTGGTGAACCCAAGAAGCAGAGGTGGGGGAGGGAGGAAGTGACACAGGAAGGGAACAAAGCCCATAAGGGCAAGTTGATGAGCTAACTGATATTACCACTGTGAGTGACACAGTCCAGTCCCTCTGGGAACCCTGTTGGAGGCCCACTGGATCTGAAGGAGGTCTGAAAGAGGGACAGCTGGGGAACTTAGCCATCCACTCCTGACCCTCACTGGCTAAGGTTCACTCCCTGAGCTGTTAACACTAACATTTTTGGTCTATGGAGTCATGGAAGTTCCCACAGCCAGAGGGAGGAAGCTATGTGTGTCCAGCATGCTTGGGTGATGGGTTGGATGTCCCAGAAAATGCGAATAGGGCATCAACATCTAGAGCTGAGGGGCCATCTTTAACCTACAGCACTGTGGCTTTGTGTCCACCTTCTGAAAGACACAGATTCCCAGATTGTTCTTAGGAAGCAGAGAATGAGCCAGGAATAAAAGGCTCCTGTTTACACTTGACATGGGGGGCCTGTGGGGCTCCAAAGTCATTTAACCTCAAAGGAGAGTTTCTTCACTGGCAAAAAGAAGGGGGTGGACTGGGTTATTTGTGGGGGTGAAATCTGCCCCGCCAATAACCAAGGGCTGTTTAGCAACTCCCATGAGCTAGTGCAGGGACTCCCCAGTTCCCACATTTGCATGCCGTGTTCATGACTTTCACCAGGTCTGAGGACTACCATACTAATGTTCTTTAGATTGATTCATTTTTATCTAAATTTATTTGAAAAGGAACTTTTTGTGTCACTTGCTGTAAATAAAAGATAATCATAAAAATTCACCATTATGAAAAAATTACTCTTCCATGCTGAGGGCCTGGCTCAAGTGGTAGAGGGCTTGACTAGCATGTGCAAGGCCCTGGGTTAAATCCTCAGTACCACAAAAATAAATTAAAATCATCTCCTATTCTACCAGGTTATACACTCCACGTTGGAGAAAACTAAGCTGGTAGCTGTCACCTCAGGTGCTCTGTAATAACCATGAGCAAAGACTGTGGGCCACCATGTGACAGGCAAGTCATGTTGATTACTATGGAATTTAATTCTCACTAGGCATGTAGACATGCTTCCACTCTCATGGTAGTGGGGACCATGACTGTTCCCATTTCACAGATGAGAAAAAGGAGGCTCAGAGAGAAGAGGGAATTCTTCCTCAGTCTCACAGACACTCAGCAAGAGGGCAGGATCCCATTAACAAGCTCCACTCCTCTTTTGGCTGCATGGCTTACTTGTGGGCAAGAACATCTTACCCTGGACTCAGAGGACAATCACGTCAATTCCCTGTGCTGGTCCTTATCTGGGTTCTTGGTACCATCATTTCCTAGAGCCTTCATAATATTTTTCTGGGACTGATACTTCAAATATGCACACTCTGTGTCACAATATACATGAAAGTGTCACAGCTGTTTTCTGGGTGTGACAACTGTGTGGGTGAAATGGTGCATTACCTTTTCCTTATTTTTCATTATCTATATCATCCTATTTTTCTACTGAGACTGTGTTGCTTTTGCAAAAAGAAAAAATGACAGAAGGTTTTAAATCCACTGTCACTTTACCCCGATGATAGAAAGTGAACTTCATCTTTCTTCCTCTTCCTTGAGGCATACCCAAGATGGCACAGCATGTGTGATGGCCTTCAAAATAAGTCCAGAGAAAGGTCTGCTTGCACTGCGGACAAACATTCACAAGCAGCATGTGGTGGTGTTGGGAAGGGACTTTGGAGTGCCTACATTGGCACCTAATTGAAGTGTGTTAGGTTTCTACATCCTTAACAGCCACAGTCTGTGGACAAGATGGCGGCCCACTTGGCAGCCAGGAACTGCTGCCAAAAACAAGAATAGGATGAGATATAGGTGTTAACAGAATAACTTGGTGATGTTAGGTGCTCATACAAAGAAACTCCCAGCTTTGACTTACAACAGATGTGGGACCATCAATCCCAGGCTACCTGGAGCCTGGATCCTTGAGGCTTTCCTGAAGCACATTCTCACCATTATCTTCCTGTTTATATCTAGGTTGCTCATATGTTGTCCTATTTGGCCTGAGACAGTTCTGGATTGTAACCATTGACTTTAATAGTTATTTTTTGACTTTCCATTATTTTATTTTACATTTAATTTTTTGAGCAGGCAACATAATCATATAATCCAGAAGGTATGAAAAACATAGAATAATAGCTCCTTCCCATCCATTTCCCACATCTAGTCCCTTTCCCTTCCCAACAGACACAACCTTTGCTACTAGATTTTCTGCCAGAGCTATTTTATGAGCTGAGTAATTATTGATGCCTCCCCTTTCACACAAGTATCCTGGTTTGGACAGCCCATTACAGTGTATGTTCACATAGAGAAGGAGCACGATAGGCAAGTAATAGCAACAAAGTAGAATTTGATTTTCAAGATTCTAGTTCTGGTTTTTACATCAACAGGCAGAATAATTCTTTACAACAGAGGTTGTCAAGACAAAGCTAGGAAATGGCAAATATCCTGAGCTAACCTGGTGTGGTTGCCTGGAGTTATATGTGGAGAAATCTAAGGCTTATCTGGGCCCAGCAGAGAAGAGCGTGGTGTTTCATCAGCAATTATGATGAGGTTATAGACATGAAGGAGTGGGGCATAGCAGCCCACCGGTTCTAAATAAGCAATCCTTCAGTGAAATAGTTTCCATGGGTCCTTCCACTCCAATATTTAAGCAATGAAATGACTAGAAAAAGACAACATTTAGAGCTGCTTGCCATTTGTTACAGTTCATGATTATTCTGCTATTCATAACAGTGCTCCTGACCACAGAGGAAAACCCAATCAGTTAGTTAATGATGAAGGACTGGAAGAAGGAAAGCACCCCACGAGGATCAGCTTCATACAACCCCTTGAGGGAAGGATTCTAGAGCCCATGGCACACAAACACTCCCTACACCCCTACCCCATGTGGCTACATTTCATGCTTTGAGGGGAGGGAGCTTCAAGGGAAATGAAGTTTCTTCCTCTGTTCTTGTGAGTCTTTTCCTGCAGAAAAGCAATCTCAAAACTCTTAGCCAACAGAGAAGTAGTGTTATTTTGCCCAAATAACCACTGTCCAAAGCAAGTTCCTCCCTAAATTTGCTATTTGGGATCAGCATATCTGATTATTAAAAGAGCATCTGATTATTGTACACTGGCACATTTTCATAACCTGTGTTATAGTTTTGATATGGTTTGAGTGTGTCCCCCTTTGGATAATGGTACATGTGTTGGGAGTTTGATCCCCAGTGCAGTGATGTTAACTGGTGATAGGACCCTCAAGAGGAGGTTATTACTGGCCCCTTCCCTGGCTCTGGTTTCCCATCTTACCATGTGATCTCTCCTTGCATGCTTCCCCCATGATGCCATCCACCATGAGATAACTGATCCAAGGGGGCTCTCACCAGACCCAGTGCCATGCTGTTTAGACTTTCAACCTTCCAAACTGTAAGGTAAATAAACCTCTTTTCTTCATGAATTACCCAGCTTTGGGTATTTCCTTATATTAATGGAAAACAGACTAATACACCTAGAATAACAGATAAGTTTCACAGTCTGTTTCTATCATGAGAACATGTATCACATGGTAGAAAAGTGTGTATATGTGTGTGTGTGTGTGTGTGTGTGTTTGAGTTTGAGTTTGAGTTTACTCCCAAAAACTTGGTTGGAATTAAGAGGTCAAGGAAGAGAATGACAGCAAAAGAAATAGGTGGGTCCTAAAATAACACAAAGAGGAGGTATGTGAAACAATCGTTTCTGACATTTAGTTCAACACTGAAATTAAGCTACTTAATCCCAAGGATGCATTCAACTCACCTTGTTAAGCCGGTCAAGCATTTCTTTCAGCACCAGTTGACATTCACACTCATTTTCATACCTGCAAATAGGACACATAAGCAAGAGTTGGGTGGCTTCTATAATTTCACATTTAGATCACATAACCAGTGTTAAATTTAATTTCAGATACTACTGTACCCTCTCCTTTAAAAAGAAGCTAACTTTAGTGTTAAAGAAATAGCTAATTCTGCATTTCCTTGTCCATTGTTTCCCAATCCTTTGTGCATCAGGGAGCATATAGAAAGTGATAACATTTGTACAGTGCACTTGATAACTGGAAAAGGCAAATGAAGCAGGAGTCTCCCAGCCTGGAGGCCCCAAACACCCTCAACTTCCTCCCACCCAGCCACCCTGGGGATGAGGGAATAATACCCTGGCATACTTTTAATGCAAGTACAACGGCAGCACAGAGATGGAAAGGCAGCCCTACATAGTCTGTAACGAACACCGTAAACCTGACCTTGTGTGGATTCCCTATACTATTGTATTCACTGATGTGTAACATACCAATTCTTCTAGATTATGTCATTAAATCCTTGGAACACCCTGAGAGAGACAGCAGTTTATTGCCACTTCCAGGGGAAAGATAAGGAAACAGGTTAAGACACTTTCCCAAACACTCAAATAGAAGCTGCCAGCATTGTGCCCTCATCCTTGTATATCACTCCTGCCCAGAAAAGGCAGGACAGGCTGAGTGTGCCAGACCCAGTGAAGAGAGCAGCCTTCAACCTTTGGCAGAGGCCAGTTGTTGCATAAACACCCCAGATACCTTCCCTCAAGATGAGATCACTCCACTCAGCAGGGTGAGCTCCAGATGCTCACAATGCTAACTTACTTGATAACTCACTTGGCATTGAATGCCTTGCCCTCCTGTCTCATTTCCTTACTCCTCTACTAATGCTCCCTGAGGCCACCTACCAAATAAATTACTGCCCTAAATCCCTGTCTTAGGTTTGGCTTCTGGAGGACTCCAAATCAAGAGATAGGTGGAGTCAGGGCTTCAACTGGAGTCTGACACCAAAACCTAGGTTCTAATGACCATGTCACATTGCCTGGGCAAAACAAGGAAGCCCCCAACTTAAACATTCACTCAGTTAATAAGGCAATGGATACTAGAAGTAGGTGAGCTGTTTTCTCCTAATCAATTTCTTTCCAAACTTCTGTAAAATGATAGGGACCCAGGAATCAGAAATCATCCCAATGATAGTGAGGGTATCCCTTATTCTGGGGGAATTTTACCCATGGAGAGAGACAGTCCCCTCTCCCACGGCCCCCTTCTTGCTCCCTTAAACTTGCCCCCTAATATCTATTGTCACCTTCTTCCAGGACTTACAGCCCTTGATGTCTGGTAAGTGCAAGGCTACCTCACAGAGAAACTGCATTTCTCAGTCATCTTTACAACCAGGCATGGTCATATGACCAAGTCCTAACCAATAGTACAGAAGCATAAGTTTGTGTGGCAGCTTCCAGATACCTTTGGTGTAGCAATGGTGTAATACCTTTCATCAGCATACTTTCATCTATCCTGTAGCTTGGAACATAAATTCTACCTTCCTGAAGGCCACACAGAGCGTTCTGGGGTTCAAATACTGTAGAGTACCTAACTAAATTGCTCACACAGACTTTACCTGAGAAGCAAACTTCCATTTTGGTTCAGTCAATGTTATGTGTTTTGTTTTTTGGTGGCAAAATACACATAATATAAAACTGATCATCTTAGCCATTTTTAAGTGTACAGTTCAGGGGTATTAAACACATTGTGCTGCCGACACCACCATCCATCTCCAGAACTCTTTTCATCTTGCAAAACTGAAACTTTGTACCCATTAAACACTAAATCACCATTGCCCCCTCTCTACCAGCCCTGGGGAATCAGTGTTCTACTTCCTGTCTATGAACTTGAATACTTACTCTACCTCATGTGAGTGGAATCACATGGTATTTTTTCTTTTTGTGACTTGCTTCTTTCACTTAGCTTAATATCCTCAAGTTTCCTCTAGATTGTAGCATGTGTTAGAATTTTTTTCCTTTTTAAGTCCAGATGATATTCCATTGTATGTGTCGGCCACATTGTGCTTATGCACTCATCTGTCCATGGACACCCGCGTTTCTGACACATCTTAACTATTGGGAGTAATGCTGCTTTGAACATGAGTGTACAAATATTTCTTCCTGAACTTGCTTTGGAGTCTTTTGAGCATATACCCAGAAGTGCAATTGCTGCATCATGGTAATTCTATTTTAAATTTTTTGAGAAACAGCCATACAGTTTTCCATAGTGGTTGCACCATTCCATATTTCCACCAATAGAACAGCAGGATTCCAATTTCTCCACATTCCTCACAAACACTTGTTTTCTATTTTTATGATAGTAGCAATCAAATGAGTGTGAGGTAGGCCAATGTCACTCTGCAGTTTATTTCACTTGTGGTTGAAACCAATCCAAATTAACAATGTCTATGGGTTCAAGTCAAGTACTTTACAGCCAGGGAAGATGCTGGAAACCCACACTCTTGTGTTCTCAGAATTAAAAGTCTTGAACTCAGGGAAGGACAACTAGGAATATGTGCATTGTGCACACATTTCAACTTTCCAAGGTCATCTGAGAAGCTCAGCATTAAATAGCAAGTTAAACATTTTGACACAAGTTTTACACTTTATACAAAGATGTCACATATAGCTGTTTCTTTCGTGTGTGGCTCTAAGACACCAAGAAATTATTTTTAAATGGGCAATTTGCTTTGAGAATAAAACAAAATCTAGCTTTCTCATTGTTCTTTCTTGCTAGAAGCATCTAAACATTTGTGTACCTTAAAAAATGTGTTTGATAATCAACACAATAACATCACATTAGGGGTAATTTTCATGCTGCAAAGGTCAATCTAGGTATTATATTAAAGAGAAGCAATTTCATTATAAGAATTCACATATTTATATAAATGAATTCATAAAGTGAAAACAAACACTTTGATTTCCATTAATTGATTGTTTTATATAAATTATATTTGGTTTTTAACAATTCGGATAATTGACTCCATTCATCATTGTATGTTAGTACTTTTATTTGTTTTTATGGTTCTGGATATATTTCATATTTTACTTAGTCTGTGATGTGCTAAAGACTTGATTTTGAAACTATTCAAGTGCCCAAGTAGAAAATATGTCTAACATTGTCATGGGACCAAGACTACATGCATTTTCTCCTTTCTATATGATTTTCACTTAGATTTAGCGAGTTATCAGCTCACCTCTGGAATGGAAAAGCAAACTTGTGTGTGTGTGTGTGTGCCCATGAATGTGGATGAGTGTGTTTTTTATAATGATTTCCAAATCCTACTACCCCAGCCAAATGTTGAAACTTCTCCAAGGGGGCAATGGTATAGAATAAATTAATAGGAATTTTTAAATAAATCACAGAGGCTAACTGCTCCAGAATTGGCATATAACTCAGAACCAAGTGAAATCAGAAAAACGTCACATGGTTCTTTCTCAATGAGGGGTTGTGGGAGTCATTCCTGCCCAACCACGTCACAGTAGAAGACAGCCCGACACCCAGTTATGGGATCTGGGCATCCCAGATATCCTGACAGCCCATCGAGCTACTCTGGACATCTGAGCTACACGACAGTATGAATGCATTTAATACCACCGAACTGTACACTTAAATTTGTTAAGATGGCAAGTGTCTTGTTAGGTGTATTTTACCACCACCACCACCAAAAAAGTGACATTGGCCTAGCCAAGATGGAAATTTGTTTTCCTCTTGTGTGAGGGTTGAGTGAGCAGCTTAGGGTGGTGTTCTACAGTATACAAGACCAGAAAGCTCTGTGTAGCCTTGTAGAAGGCTGTACTTCCCTATGCTTCCAAGAACATGAGCTTCTTCTGAATGAGTTTCTCTCTGGGCCTCGCTCTCCAGGAATCCAAGAATAGATTTTCCAAGACATCAAGTTCTGGAAAGACCACAGAACCAGGACAGGAAAACTCAAATTCAAGTCCGGACGCCCATGGGTCCTTGCCAAGCCTGTTTCCTTGTGAAAGATAATAACAGGTGGATTTTCAGGTATCTTCTCTCAAATTGGTTTCTATAGATCAAAACCAGAAACAAAAGTACTGATGGTAATTGAATAAAGAAATATGATTGGACAACTATACTCAGTACACAAACTGGGAATAGCCCACCCAAGATTGAGGTAGAAAGGGGAGCTGAAACAGCATGTTTGAGGAATTCCTTCTGACTACCCTGTACCATGGCATCCCAAGCCTGGTTCGTGGCTGGAATTAGCAGTAGAGTTCATGTAAAATGAAAATTCCTGGGCCCATTTGAGGTTCAAGGTAGGGCCTGCACACTTTTATTTTTTAATTAATGTATACAGTTTTACATGGATAAATCTCTTACATAGCTAAAAAAAAAGTTAATGTATTTTTAAAACTATTTTATTAAAAGTCTTCCTCTCATTTGTGTCTCCCATTTGCCCAGTTCCTGCTTCTTTATCCCTCAAAAGAAGAGGTGTGAGGGGATGAATGTGTCCAGAAATTATTTTTCCTTACGCATGCAAAAAAAACTCCACTCTTCCGCCTTTCTTTTTTAAATAGTAATAACATGCTATTCTTTTTACCACCACATAGTATTCCATTGCATGGATAAACCAGCTCCTATTGATGCGCATTTAGACTGATTCCAGGTTTTTCCTAAAGCAGATCATGCCACAGTAATACCTTCCTCCCAAGCAGGCCATTTCATAGTTGCTGAAGTATATCCTAGTATCGATTCTTTGCAGTGGCCTCCTCAGTCAAAAATCTATTTTTCTATAACTCAGAATGATGGTGACAAATGAGTGCCTTGTTTTTTTAACAGCTCCTAGATGATGTTAATGCATAATTACATCTGTGGCAGAGAAGACTTTGTCCTGGACCAGGAATTCTTCAACTTCAATGTACAACTTCCTAAACTAGGAGCCACTGGGAACCTTGTTAAAAATGCATCCTGATTCAGGAACTCTGTGGGGTCCCAAGGGTCTACTCTCCCAACAAGCTCTCTGGTGTGCTGATGCTGCAGGACCATGGCCCAAACTTTGAGTTGCAAGACCCTAGAAGCCACAGATTCAAACGTAATTCCCAGGAATCAGCTGTGACGCTATAAAGACAATTGGGCTTTGCATGCCCAACCTGGATTCCATTTCGAGCCCAGCAATTCACTACCTGGTGACCTTGCCCCAAATCCCTTTGCGCCCCGAGCCACAAGCTCATCTGTAAAATGATGCAGTCAGGATAAAACCGTGCAGATTAAATAACATTCTTACATCTCAAACATTCGGACTGAGTGAAAGAAGCCAGACATATAGTGCATATTGTTGGGAAATTCTAGAAGAGTTACAATTGATCTCTACTGATAGAAATCAGAACTCTGGACACCCCTGGTGTGGGAAGAGGACTGACTGGGAACGGCGATGAGGGAACTCTGGGGCAGTGGACATCTCACTTGTTTGAGTGTTTACACGGGGTACAGACATTTGTCCAAACTCAACTATGCACTTCAATCTTCACTTTTTACTTGCAAGTTATTCCTAAATTTAAAAATACACACACACACACAAAATAGGATACCGTTTAGTGTAAATTGTGAAATGCCATCGAAATGAAGCTAGACCTATCTTAAGGCAAAGTGTCACCCGCAAGTCCTCTGCAGGGATGAGCTCAAAATCAGCCCTCCAGCCCTGGATGGCCCCGCGCTCCCAGACCCGCGTCACCTGGGCGCACTACGCCCTGCCTCGGTTTCCCTGCTCCGCCACGCTTACTTGCTCCGGAACTCGTCAAGTGCGCGCTGCGTCTCTGCGCCCTGGCGCTCCAGCCTGGCGCGCTCGGCCGCCAGGTCCCGGGCGCGCTGGCGGTTGCCCTCGACGTAACGGGCGAGGGCGTCCTCGGGACCCGCCAGCTCGCCCAGTCGCTGGAAGGCATCCAGCTGTCGCCGCAAGCCCGCGTGGCGCTGCTCCAGCGCCCGGGCCCGCTGGATGTGGGCGGCCACGCGCTCGCCCAGGGCCTGCAGCGCCACCAGGCTGGGCGCCGCCACCCGCGACTCCTCGGCCGGGCGCGCGGACTCTTGCTCGGCGCGCTCGTACTGCTCCTGGCGGGCCTGGTAAACATAGCTGCGGCGGTACATGGCTCCTCTGCGAGCTAGCTAGAGAGAGAGAGGCCGGCTCTCTGGGAGGCCCCGGCTCGGCCAGCAGCCTGCTAAATAACCATCGGAGGCCCTAGGCACACCACTGGGACGTTCCAGAGCTGATCAGCAGTTGAGCCCCAGGCGGTGCCCCGGTGCGGAACAATGACACTGCAGCCTCCGGCTTTGTGAGCAGGATTAGCGGCCCATACAGCTCTGGCATTGGAAGGTCAAAATGGGCAATAGGGTCTTTGTTCCGTAATTGTGAGCGCCCGCTGCTTTATGATTGAATGGAGGGTCAGGGGGACAAGACAGGCACGACGTCCTTTTTACTGGATCCTCTGGGAATAGTGAAAGCTGCCCAAGATGAGCTTGTTAAACTTGAATTAGCTCAAGAGCTGTGCTTTGTCCCCTCTCTCCCTCAGCTGTTTTAGATCTTAACAATATCATTGTGATTACTTAAGCAATTCCCTTCCATAATTATAACATGATACGGAGGTGGAGGACCCCCCTCTATGATGGGGTTCATAACCATGGATGCAGATAAAATGGTTTATCTCAAAGTAAGTGGTAAAGTGTGTCGAAAGTAATTTCTTAATAATACTTGTGCATCATTTGTGAAGATTCTACTCTTTGCACAGTAATTTAGGAAACATGCACGGTGATGTTACTAGAATGTCACCCTTGCTCTCATGGATTTTGACATTCTTAGCAGAAGATCCAGCCTTGACATCACTAATAGGTTCTTTGAACTAAAGAAAATCCTTACAGCCTGAAGGCTTAATAAATTGGTCAATTCTCAAACAGATTTTGCCACTGCCTGTCATTTCAATTTTTATTATGGAAATTGCAACTGGATTTTGATGAAAAAAATTTAAATAAATAAATAAATAAATATATATATATATATATATATATATATATATATATATATATCTATATCCTAATAGCTAAGCTTTGGCAAACTCAAAAGTAAATTGTAGTGTTAAAACAAATTGATTCCATTTGATAATATTCCTTGATATAAATATTTTGTCATATCTCCAATTTTAAAAATCATTATCAAAGGGGCTGTTTTATTAAAAATAAGGATTAGCAGTACCATATAATTACCAACTAAATGGATTACACATAATTATGCTACGAATTAAAGTCACAGTTATCAGAGATAGAAAAAGAAAATTACGTAGATCTTTGCTGAGTTTATTATTACTCCAAAAAGCCTGTAAAATAATGGATTCGGTCTGGAATAAAGCTATGTAAGGGAGGATCAGGAACCAATGTAAAGATCAGTTAGAGTTGAATCAACATGGGTCGTAACACATGGGGTACATGAAAGTAATGCTAGGAATCTCTCTGTATAGCTATCCTTAACTCAACTAGCAAAAACACTTTGTCTTCCTTATTATGCTTTTGTCTTTTCTTCAACAAAATCAGTGATAAGGGCAGAACCGGACCTGCCTGAAACTGAAGGGGGGACGGGGGAGGGGGGCAGGGTGGAGAAATGACCCAAACAATGTATGCACATGTGAATAAATGAACAAAAAAATAAACAAATTAAAAAAAAAAAACTATGTAAGGTCCTAAACTATGCTGGTGGTGTGGTTATTGTTCTTTCTACTTCTAAGCCATTTAAAAATAGCTTTTATGGTCAAAGCGAAGAGAAGCCCATGATATTTTTTGTAGGTCCACGAACTCCATGCTGTGGCAAGGAGTTGACTTCAGGCTTCCTGTACAACAAAAGCAACTGAGGGAGACCTAGAAATTATTCATTCCATGATATTGCTAGAGAACAAACTGCCCCAAACTAAGTGCCATCACACTCCAGGTCTGCAGGTTATCTGCAAAACCCTCCTTCCAGCTGCAGGTCTCCTGATCAGTTGAGGCAGATCCCTTCTGAATGCCCTTTGTTCTGAATTAACAATGGCAGAAGCACAAGAGCACAGATGGCCACACAAGCTCATCCCAAGCCTTTATTTCCATCATGAGTACTCACATCCTATTGGTCAGAGCAAATCATGGGGTCACAGTCAAAGTCACGTGTAAGGGAAGAGGCTTGGCTCACCCAAAAGCCATGACAACGGCATGGGTGTATGACCCTATCACACTAGAGTAAAGAATCTGGTAATGTAACAAAGGAAAAGATATTGTCCCCATTTAATGCAGGGGAACAAACACTTTAAAATGTGTACTTATAAGCCAGGGGTGGCTGCAATCCCAGTACTCAAGAGGCTATGGCAGGAGGATGGAGAGTTTAAGGGCAGCCTGGGATACATACAGAGATCTGTCTCAGAAACTAAAAAAAAAAAAAAAAGTAAATAAATAAATAAAATTTCTCCTCACAAACCATAGTTTCAGAGAATTAATTATTGAACAAGGTCAAGTCCCTGCCCTCAAGTGGCAGGAGACAAATTCATATCCTCCTAATTAAACCCAAGGAAATCCAGAATAAGCTCTGACACAGAAATTTGCTGTTTTGTTTCTTTTTTTACTATTGTTGTGCTGGGAGTACATTGTGGCATATACAAAATTTCTCACAATATATCATAGCTAAATTCACCCCCTCCATCATTCTCCTTTATCCCCCCAACCCCCATTCCTGGATTTCAACAGGTCTCATTTTTCCATTTACATACATGTGTACACAATATTTGCACTATAGTCACCCCCTTTCACCCTCTCCCCACATCCTCCCCCCTCCCACTGGTAACAATCCCCCAGACAGGAGACTTATTTTAACAAAATGCTATCATTGTATCAAAGAAAAAGTAGCGAGTAGAGTGTGGATAGGCATAGAAGTCAGAATCCTAGACAAAGAGAACAGCATAAACAAGCTGTAAAAGGGAATGATCTCAGGGTCTTCACCTTGATCATCTAGCCTGCAGAACACAACTGTGAGAAATAGATTTCTGCCGTCTATGGTACAGCATCCCCAACACAAAGGTGTAATCAGAGCATCCATAAAAGCCCCTACAACATTTAAGAAGAAGCATATACAGTTCCTATGTGTCCTGGACTCCTTCATTTCTGTTTAAACAGAACACGTGGGGATCTACCATTTCATGGTCATTCAAGCTTCACAGAAAAAACAAAAGTCCCCTGTATGTTAACATTTTCATAATTGTTAAGATGAATAAAAGTTATCTATTATATTCATTATGATTTTCTTCCAAATATTTTTAGAACACTTCCTATGATGTTGTATTTTGATCAGAATCATAAATACAGTCTTTTTTCAGGCTCAGCTTGTTTTAAGTAAGATTATCTATAATTATTTATGCGGGTGTTATTCTAGTGTGGTCAGTGGGAGTCCCACAGATTGACTTCTTTGTCCTTTGCCCCAAATGCCCTTGAAAGCATCTTTGCTTTCTAGGAATGAGATATTCTAGGCACATCTGCTTCTTTGCTGTCCCAACACAGGGAATCAACTTCCATCAAAGGAGCTGTGTTTCTTTGGGTTAAAGAACTATCTTTGAGGCTGTTATCTGAGTTCTCTGGGTGCATATGCAAGCTGCATATACTGCTATGGCTTTAACCTCTTTCAAGAATGATAGAAGTAGGATGTATATGAATTCAAAATAGTTATTGAAACTTACAAAATTACTATGCTGCTTTTTATAGTATGTAAATTCATTAGCCACTAAGACTTTCTTCTAACTTAAGTTTCTAAGAAAAAAATGACCAATTAACTGATGAATTTTAACATGTAGAAATGAGTATTGATGGAAGATTTATATTTCTCTTAGGAAGTGTGAGATTAATAAGTGCCTAGACAAACAAAAAACATGGCAATTAGTAACTCCAGGAAAAGCAAAAAATTGAAGAGGAAAGGCAATCTAAGCAAAACATCTTACTTAACTCATTAGAAAAGCCATATCTGCATGGTCATATTAATGAAACACCAGTTTATAAAAAATTCTAATACAATTGTAGGTGGTGATACATGCCTGCAATCCCAGCTACTTGAGAGGAAAAGAATGAGGGACTGAGGTTCTAGGACAGTCCCAGCAAAAAAGTTAGCAAGACTCCATCTTAACAAATAAGCCAGACATGGTGGTAAGTATTTTTGATCCCAGTTATGTGGACGGCATAGGTTGGAGGATCAGTCCCAGGCCAGCACCAGGGAAAAAAGCAGGAGACCCTATCTGAAAAACAAACTAAAAGCAAAAGAGGGCTGGGGGCATGGCTCAAGTGGTAGATTGCCTGCCTTGCAATTGTGAGGACCAGCGTTTAAATCCCAGTACCACCACCCCCTCCTGCCAAAATAATATAAATAATTCGGAAAATAGGGTAAAAGAAAATGTGTTAAAGGATTCATTCTTCATTTTCCTTAGTAGATAGAGTACATAGTGCCTCCAATAGACAGACATTACAGTGTTAGCTTATTACAAAAAGCATAATTATAGAGTTAAGCACCAGAAGAAACAATCAGAATTTAAAGTGATCGGCTATGGAGAGTGGGAAAGGATAGAAAAAGTAAAGAGAATTAGAAACAGGACAGATGGCAGCTCCCTTTGGTATAAAATTAAGCTCTGTAGTATTATTTGAAAAAATGTTTATACATTTCTTTGATAAACAATATAAAATCAAGTCTTGTGGGCCAGTTATGCTATGGTAACAAGCAACCTTCCAGTCCTAAGGTCTTAAAAATCCAAAGGTTTATTTATTGTTCATGGTACATGTCCATCTAAGGTCAACTTTGGCTTTTGCTCCATGTCTTCCTCACGTTAGCACCCAGGCTATTAGAGCAGCCACCACCTTGAACGCTACTGGTCATTTTAGAGAAAATGTGACAGCGTGTACTGACTTGGAAAGTTCCAATGCAATCATACTGAACGGGCAGAAGCAAGTTGCATGACCCCACCTAACATCAAATGCACTGGAGACATAATCCTGTCATGTGCCTAGAGGAACAAGAGAGAGCCTTATGTCAGCAACCCTCAAGACTACATTGCTGGTGGGAGAGTGTTCGGTAGGAATGGTGATCGTATGCATGCAGAAGA